CCGTCCCCGGCCTGAGATGGAGCTCAGCAGACTCCTTAGGAAATCCCACACTCTTGCTACAATTACCTACTCTAGTAGTTAGTTTGTTGTCATTTCTTGTTAGTGTAGTTCATTAGTTCTTTTATTTGTTATAAAAAAAAAAAAATTCTCGCAGCCGCTTCTACCATGCCCGGCTCCACAGGCTTTAAGCGCTGCTCTACGTGTAAAGACACTATCCAACTCTCTGATAGCCACTCTCTACGTATAAAGTGCTTGGGGGAAACCCACATTCCCCCAAAATGTGCCCACTGTAGCAAACTCAGTTCCAGGGCACGGAAGGACAGACCCCACTCAATAGAGGTTACAAAAAAACTACCTCAGTCTATTCTCAGGATCCTGCCCCATGGGGAGTGAACACAATCTACTCGCACCACCTATCTACGTAAGTGGAAACGATTCACACACTGGTGTTCAGCTAACAACTTGGTCCCCCGTCAGCATCTCTTCCGCTCATACTTGACTACCTATTGGACCTTAAGCAATCCGGCCTTTCTTTCAGCTCCATCAGGGTCCATTTAGCTGCTATTACAACTTTTCATGACAAAATTGATGATACTTCTGTATTTGCTCATCCTATCACCAAGCGCTTCCTCAAGGGACTCCAAACCCTATACCCAGATATTAAACCACCTACCACCCCGTGGGACCTTCATCTAGTACGATCTTGCCTAACTCAACAACCATTTGAACCCCTAGCCACGTGCTCCCTTTTACACCACTCCATGAAAACAGCATTTTTAGTGGCAATTACCTCTGCCAGACGGGCAGGAGAAATAGCAGCTCTTATGGCAGACCCACCATATATGCTATTTTTCAAAGACAAGGTTACCCTCAGGTTACATCCCAAATTTCTTCCAAAGGTACACTAGTCATTCCACATTAATGAGCCGATACACTTACCGACCTTTTTCCCGAAGCCACATGCGAACTCGTTCGAAGCCTCAATGCATACACTAGATGTCCGCAGGGCATTGTCCTTCTATTTGATAGAACCAAACCTTTTAGAAATTCTCCTAAACTTTTTGTCTCGATCGCTGAGCATTCCAAAGGTACCCCTATTTCTACCTAGAGACTTTCAAGCTGGATTTCTCAATTCATCCGGCTGTGCTATCAGATGAAGAAGGTTACACCTCCAGACGGCATCAGAACGCACTCCACGAGATCTCTGGCTGCCTCTGTTGCATTCTTACGCAAAGTTCCCCTGGCTGATATCTGTAAAGCAGCCACTTGGTCCTCTGAACACACATTTGTTAAACACTATGCCCTTATTCAAGGCCCTCTATCGGATATACGCTTGGGCAGGGCGGTACTATCTATGGCATTCCTATCCGATCCGAAGTCCCTACCCCCTTGAGGCACATGGCTTTTAAGTCACCTGAAGTGGAGCACCCACAGGGACATCTCTCGAAGAAGAAGAGGAGGTTACTCACCCTGTGCAGTAACTGACGTTCTTAGAGATGAGTGTCCCTGGGTGCTCCACTACCCACCCTCCTCCCCTCTACTTCGGAGTTGGGGTAGCCTCCGTTGTAGAGAAGGAACTGAGGAGATTGGCCACGCGTGCGTACTATTATCCTAGACTCACAGTGGGGGCAGCCTCTGCGCATGCGTGGCCAGTACGAGTACTGCTGCGAAAAATCTCCAAGCGAAGGCGCAGGGACGCACCAACACCTGGAGTGGAGCACCCACAGGGACACTCATCTCGAAGAACGTCAGTTACTGCACAGGGCGAGTAACCTTCTCCTCACATTTCCTTTCTCTAGCCACTGAATCATGTGTAAATGATTATTTAAAACAATGTAAGGACTCCATCAGCTTCAGCAATTAATGTCAATTAAAAATTCTAAATAAATAACCTAACTAGCACTCCCTTCCTGCCCCGTAGCTGTCTCTTTCAGTGGTACAGTGAAGTGATTTGTGTGTCCAAACAATTTGGGGTCTTTCCATATGGAAGGTCCTATGCAAGTAAAATAGGCACAGCTCTTCATAACAGAGTCAACCAAAAAAAAAAAAAAATCAGTAGGGGAAGAGTTTAGTGTAAAGATTCTAAAAGACTTGTTACAAAAAAATTAAGAAAAATTAAACATTCAGAAAACCTCAAATATCTAATTATTTTCCATTAGACACTCCACATACTCATCATTTATGTATAATTTATGTTTGAACCTCTGAGAATCATTCTTAAATCTGACAGAAATCCCACCATGGATCAGGCCTTTAGAGTAGGTGCGAAGTAGAATTAATGACATAAAAGGGAGGTAGGTTGCCACCAACCAAAAGGTCCCCACCACTATCCTTAAGGACACCAGACATTTATTTTGCTGTATAAATTTGTTGTCAACAATGCAAAAAATTAGGGTCTGAAAGCGGATTCAGCCAGTTGGAATTCTGGAGGAGTTTTTCTTTCACTCAGGCATAAGTTTCATGTAATTCCCATACAGAAAATATTTTGTTGATACAAAAATGTTGCTGGCATCCCATGAAGTCCATTTTTTTCAGAAGCCTGTATTCCTATTAAAGTATTGTCTTCAATTAGTTGTTCAAAGGTTGATTGCAAAAGGGGAAAATGGTAAGAAAATGAAAAATAAGGTGCCTTTTCCTCTAGAGTTTAAACCATGTTTTAAAACAATTCTTGCTAGCCGAGTGCTGAACTAATTTACCTAGCCCTGGCTGGGGAAGGTAGGATCTATTCTGTAGCATGATTTTGTAAAACTGTTGCATATGTGATCATGAGTACCATGTGAAATTGTGGAGCTTCGAGACAGACAGCATTTCTCATGGACTTTTGATCAGGTGCTTACTTACTGCCCAATAATTAGGGCCCTACCAAATTCACAGCTGTGAAAAACTCATCACGAACGTGAAATCTGGTCTTTTGTATTCTTTTATCCTATACTATACAGATTTCACAGGGGAAACCAGCGTTTCTCAAACTGGGGCTCCCAACACAAAAGGGAGTTATGGGGGGATTGGAAGCATATTGTAGGGGGATTGTGATATTGCCACCCTTACTTCTGCTCTGCCTTCAGAATTGGGTGGCCGGAAAACGGTAGTTGCTGGCCAGGTGCCCCGCTGTGACAGCAGCACTGCCAGCAGCAGCACAGAAGTAAGGGTGGCAATGGGCAGCCGGAGAGCAGTGGCTGCTGGCCAAGGGCCCAGCTCTGAAGGCAGCAGCACAGAAGTAAGGGTAGCAATACTATACCATGCCATCCTTTACTTCTGTATTGCTGCTGGCAGTGGCAGTGCCTTCAGAGCTGGGCTCCCAGCCAGCAGCTGCAGCTCTCTGGCCACCCAGATCTGAAGGCAGTGCCATCGCCAGCAGCAGCAGTGCAGAAGTAAGGGTGGCAATACTATGACCCCCCTACAATAACCTTGCAACCTCCCCACTACCCCCTTTGGAACCAGCACCCCTATAGTTACAACACCATGAAATTTCAGATTTAAATATCTGAAATCATAAAATTTATTATTTTTAAAATCTTCTGACCATGAAATTGACTGAAATGGACCATGAATTTGGTAGGGCCATACCAATAATCTATCTTGGCAGGATATAGGTGTAATATTCTAAGCTTTTGGAGAGCTTCAAAAAGACACATAAAAAGAAAGAAACAACCACTGCCAGGGAAATGTTTTCTTCTTTTCCCAAGTGTAGAATTTCCTCCCTAAAATTACATCAGCCCAAGGTCAACAACAGGCAAAATTCAGTCCCAGAGCAGTGACAGATTTAAGGTACAATATCGCAGAGCCTTGCAAGGACAGAAATGGGAGCTGTTGGAAAAGGTGATTTCGAGCTCTCCAATGGGACACACCGCACTTGCTTCAACTCCTGAAATTTTCCAGGATATCAAGATATTAGTCTTAAAATTGTGATATTTTATATATAGTAGAGCAATTAAGTAACTTTTTGATTCTTAAAAAAAAAAGTTTTTTTTGTCCTTTCCCTCTGGTCTGTCTGTACAGCAGGACTCATGGTACTGAGGAAAACCTTTTTTTTTTTTTTTTTTTTTTTTTTTTTTTTTTTTTTTTTTTTT